TACCATAATTCTTTATTTCCTGGGTTTGAGCCATTTAAATGGAAGTGCATTTGACATTTTGGGAGGGTACAAGGCATTGCTGTCAGCCTTGATGCTGTGTTAATGATGCTCTTGGGCAATTAATAATAATCATGGGGTAGCTTGGAAATCAGACTCCTGGTTTTAGTCTTGTAGTCTACTGGATTAGCAATAAAATTTCAGGCCATTTAAATACCTAAAGGGTCTGGGAGTGTAGAGGGCTCTGACTTAAAGCATTAGTAAACAGTGTTGAGGGAAATAGCTGTGGTCAGCAGTAGGGTAACTGTGCTGGAGAAATGGGGCTTTGGTGATGGAGAAAGTCTAAGGAGCTCCCTGTTCATCTCATCTCTTGTGACATTGGGACTGCTGAGGTTTTTTGTGTTACATTTAAGTAAGTCATCTCTTTTTTCCCCCCAGAAGGTATATTCTAACCCAAACTATGTCACATAGGCTGTGCTTCTCACTGATGTCCTCACTTCTTCCATTGCTCCTGCAGCAAGGCTGGGGGTGGGCAGAGCATCTCCAGGGGACATTACTGTTCTTGGGTGACCATTCACTTGCCTTCCAGCACCATGACAATGACTGGTGGCACATGCTGTCACCTCTGCTTTTGGAATAAAATTGCCACTCAAAATCCTTGTAACGAAATGGTGAAGGTTCCTCTTAAGAGAAATTCCCAGCACTGGCTATAAAACACCGTTTAGGCAGATTCAGAGCTCTGTATGGAACAGGAGCTGGTGGTGTTTCATGGGCTTTGAACACGGGGCAGGTCACAGCGTGCCAGGGACTGGTCTGCTCTCAGCAGCTCTGTTAAGGGCTGTCCCCAGCTCCCCTGCCATGGCCCTGCAAAGCCCTAGGGGCAGGGAAGCCTCTTGGTGCTGCAAGGGGTGTAAATGGAGTCTTACTTCCTTCAGTGAGTGTGTGAGAAGTGTCTTATGGGTGGGTGATCTCAAGGGTTTACCTATTTGATGCCAGTGCACCAAGCTTTGTCCATGATTGCTAAGAACTGAGGGTTAGCTTCAAGTCCACCTTCACTAAAGGTGACTGCAGATGTCATCTAAAGACTTCCAGACATAAAAGCTGCTAAGGCCATGAGAGATATTGTCCTTAAAGGGAGGCTTTGGCACATAACTAAAGAAGAATATATCCCCAATAGTTTGTTCTTTCCCTCATTTCATACTCACCAAGCAACAGTTCTGAACGTGTGCACAAGAACTGATGTATAACTCCTTATTTCAGAGCTTCCTTCTTAACATTACTAATTGACCCACTGATGGGTCCTTACTCTCCTTATTTTATCACTGTAATGTTGTTCTAGCTAATTCCCTGCTGAAGCAGCAGAACTACCCATTAAGCAAGCGCTATGAGCTGATAAGGAACAGCAATACAATTTATGCATGGCATCAGGGAACGGGGACAAATGTTGGCATCAAGGTGACTTATTTGCCTGTGAAGCCCATAGCAAAAAGGTCCTCAGCAGGGAGCACCACCCATCAGTTCAGTCTTTTGCCATAAGCTGGGAGTTAAACATTTATTATCTACTCTAAGCAATATTGTGTTCAGTGTGAAGGATGCAAAAAGGGCAGCCAGCACTGCTGTGCGTCAGCAGTTCGAAATGGGAGATACAGGGCAAAGAGGAAAACCACTTATCAAGACCTGCATGTGAGTTTTGATCTTTAGGTGCTGACAGAGGAAGCCTTGGGCATCGCAGCTGAGGGCTAAGTGGAAGCACAGCCAGAGGAAAGGTGCTGCTGTGTCTGGAGCAGAGGCAGTCATGGTCAGTGGGTCCCTGAGGGTGCTGAGACGCTGGCACGGGGTGCCCAGAGAAGCTGAGGCTGCCCCAACCCTGGCAGCGTTCAAGGCCAGGCTGGATGGGGCTTACAGCAACCTGCTCTCGTGTGGGGTATCCCTGCCCATGGCAGGGGTTGGAACTGGATGAGCTTCAGTCCCTTTCCAGCCCAAACCAGTCTGGGATTCTGGGATTCTATGATTTTATGTGGGCACTGACAACTTTCTTTCCTCTACTCCACACATTGTGACAGTCAGCTTCTTGGAGTCACAGCTCCATTTTAACCAGTGTTCCACCCAGATCCTCATGGGAACATAAGAACAGCAATTCAGGACTAGATCTGGGGTGATTCTGCCCCAGCATCCTGTCTCTGACAGCAACCAGTAGCAAGCACCTAAAGAATATAATAAATGAATGGTTTCTATTAAGGATTTTCCTCCACTAGCAAGCTCCAGCTTCTGGAACTCTGTCACTTTGGGAGCCCCTGAGCTACAGACCATATCCACATCATTGTGTTTAACAGCCCTTAGTGGCCCTTTCTTCCACTAATTTTTTAATTGCTAATGGAGATGGCTTTTCTTTTGGCCTCCACAGCATCCTGAGTTACATAATGTAATAGTGTGATTTGTGAAAGCCCACTTCCTGATTAGTTTCAAAGAATAGATGAGATCAGGTACAGTAGCGATACGGTAGCTGGAGCATGAGAGACGTCCAGGATTACAGGGCTCCACACTACTGACAGAAACTCAGATGGCAGAGCCCTATAACCATCTTCATATGTTCTTATTCGTATGGTTTTGCAGTATATAGAGATTATAATGCAGCTTTAAAGAGGGGTAAGCAACCAGCACGCTGTTAGCCACCTCTCATAACATCATCTCATAGGTGAATATGGAAGGTGGGAGTGAGACAAAGCATCTTAATCCTGCCTCCACATCCAAAAGTAGCTCAACTTGCTTAAAGCAAAGTTTAGTAGATCCTAGAGAAGGCAAGGTTTCCTCAGTAACAATCAGGTACCCATTCTTTTTCTGTGGTTTTAAAAACCCTATCCAGCATCTATCACTGTCTTTGAGGGCTAGACTACCTGAAAGCTAAGCCCTTATTCTGAATTGCTTTTATGTGGTTTGCAATGCTTAACTTTTGTGCAGGATTCATTTGAAGTGGGGCAAAGGAGCAGGACTTGTCCATGGGATGCGGGAAGGGGGATAGTTCCGGGGTGCAGACACAGCAACACAGGATTTTTGGAGGTCAGCTTTGAACAGGAGAAAGGCAGAAAGAAGGATTGTATTGGGAAGGCATCACAGTGGGGAGCAAAGCTTTCGGACAGTGGATGTCAAGCTAGGCAACAGGCTGTGATCTTCAATGCTGGCTCCACCATGATGGACCAAAATGGACCAACCCTCTCCAGCGCTGCCTTGATGCCACAGACGCTCACAGCTGAATCAGTGCTGTGCAAACACTTTCAAGAGGCTGAAAGCTTTCCTTGAGCTCTTTGGGTGTCAGCATTATCCCCTGTAAGAGAGCCAGCCCAGCTCACCATTTCATGGTGAAACACAGACATTAATGCTTGGAAAGTTTCAGGAGCTATTGAAAGCTCCATATAAATGTTAACTATTATTATTGAATTACAGTGTGATTGAAACAAATTGATTTGTTAGGATAGTTTCAATGAATCATATTCATAGCAAATTCTATTTAATTTACTACAGTGAGTCATTAACTGGCTCTGCTGCTGATTTATTTATACATCCTGCAGAAAAGGTAACTGATTTTGAGAATCAGATCTTAAGATAACTGGTCTTCAGAACTGCGGGATCAAGCATTTTGTAAGTGTGGTAGTATCAATCCATATGAGTCCCTTTTCCATCCTATTTAATCCTGATGAAGGTTATGCAAAGCACCTGCAATAAAATGTGCCCTTCTTTGTGTGCTCTGAGCTTGCCCAAAAAGACAGCGCTTCTCCTAAACCCCAGTGCTTCATTAAACCTGGTCCAAAATTAAATGTAACATTCTCTGATTCTCTGCAGGCTTCACTATGCAGGATGATTAGAAGCTATGAAATACCGAGTGCTGGAAACCCAAATTGCTCCTGGATTGAAAACACACTTCAGGGGAACAATTCAACCAGCAGGACGGAATAGCTCAGGATGGTGACATGTCTTTGGTCCTGATGTGCCTCAGTTTCCCTCTCTGCAAGACAGAGGCAGGGCTACCTCTCTGTCAGCACAAAAGCCATCATTTGAATGCTTGGATGGTAGCATCCAGTGTCTCAGCGAGCTACGCCAGCTTGCATCGCTCATTATTAGCAGCCACACACTAATGACCCACTCCTTGCCAAGGCACAAGGGACTACATTTAACCACTGCAGGAAGTTTCAGAGAAAGCACTTCTTTTGGTGGTGACAGGAGGATTATGCTGGGATTTTTCGATGCATGCTGCAGTGAGAGTGGGGAGCAGAAAGAGGATGAACCCTGATTAGATGGAGGGATGGGAGAGGGGAGTGCATGCACAAGGTGGCTGGGTCAAAGGAGAGAGGCAACAGGATATATGGGACAAGAAGGATGAAGCTGTGATGCAAGGAGCTCAGAAGAGCACAGTTCCATGTCTTAGCTGGGTTCAGGTAAGAAGCATCTCATATCTTCCCAGAGAATTTTCCTATTTGTGATTAGAAGCGGTAAATAAAATCTCAGCAAATGGAAAAAAAGCTGAAATGAACTGGGGAGCAAAAATTTCTACAAAGGGCTTTCAAAAGACAAAGAAAAGAGGGAATTTTCAGGTAAAACTAGGTGCAGCAGGATGACATTCTTCTCTTACACTAAAGATAAAGGATCTCCTGCTCGAGGGTTGTCATAGAATCAACCAGGTTGGAAAGGACCTTTAAGCTCATCAATTCCAGCTGCTCCCCAGGACTGCCAAGGCTACCACTAACCCATGGCACTGTCCTCTCCCCCTGGGCTGCAGAGCCCCTGAGGGTGCCTCCACCCCAGCCCCTAGGGATGGGATAGCTGGTTGGGTGCCAGTGAGATGGGATAGGGTCACTGTGGGATGGCACCAGGCAGGGTGGCTGAGGGTAGGTGCAAGATTAGGAGCACAGACTCTAATAGACAGCATTAGGACCTTAATAGTTTTGCTACAGTTGGTGTTGGTTTCCCTTAGATGATGCCACTATGTGGCATGGGTATATTGCCACCGTTAACCCAAAGGTTTATAGAATTAAAGTAAGAGGAAGAGAAGTACTGGCAATCTCTAAGATTTTTGTTCCATGCCTGAAAGAAGCCCAGTGATACTTCTGAAATAACAGGAATGAGACAGTTAAAGTGTTGTACAAAGGCTACCTTTAAAACTTCCTTTTCATTTTCTGATCGTGGGTTTTGATCTTCTTCAATCAAATGGAGCATCACTTAGGAGCTGATGAAAAGAAAACCTTCATCTGGTTATTAACTCCTTGATGAAAGACCTGTAAGAAGAGCATTGTTCATTTACAGGAGTTTGGAAAATACTGAAAATTAGCTGAATTCTTTATGAGATACGTGGCTTCTTGCAAGTTCTAATTGGGCACACACATTGGAAAAGCAGAGCTGTTATGACTGCAAAGATGGGAAGTGTCAAGCTGTTGCCATTAAAATAAACGAGTTACTACATTTCTCACTCCTTTCTTCAGTGCATGGATAAGCTCCCCTTCTAAATGACAGTGACCTGAGAGATGCTTTATAGCATAGCCATGGAGTAAGTTGGTGCTTATGGCCAGGCCTCTCCTCCCTATATTGTACTTTGCTCTCTGATCCCTGTTTGGAGCAGGTCTGAGACCTCCATGGAGGAGGACGCAGATGCAGGTGGAGCAGAGCCATGGTCATTGCAGCAGGAAGTCCTGGAGAGGTAACCCACCAGGAGATGGTCAGTGCAGGAAAAAAGGGAGGATGTGTCCCAACTCTTTGCTGAAGTCTCAAAGTTGGAGCTGGGCAAGTGTTTCTCTTCACTTTATTCTAGGGTAAAAAAATCCAAGCTTGGGCAAAAACATCTGTGCAACTGTCCTGTGTCGGAGTGGTTTAGTTCCTCCCTCTCCAAACAGGGGGGGACACCAGAAAAGCTCCAACCTTTCCTCCCTGTTGGCAAAAGGGGATGTTTAATTTCCCTTTGTTTCAAGCTCGTGCTTAAGCTAGAAGGCTACTTCAATCAAAACAGCTGCTGCTGCTACCCTGAAAATGTTTTACTTCTACTTGAGCTAAACGTTTGACCCACATTTTGACCCAAATTGAGTTTTTCCTTTTTTTCCCACATGAGAAAACAAACAGAACTAAAAATTCATTTCAGGTGTTTCAGAAACAAAACCTTTCCTTTTCATCCCTTTGTTGGACCAGTGTGCTATGAGACAAACCAAAAAGCAACCTTACAATCACCAATGGAAGCCCCAATATAGGACCACCGCGACTTCCTTTAAGGTGGTTTTGACTTTTATTTCAGGGATGGTTGGGATTTCAATGGAATTTTGGAGGTTTAACTCTTTGCAGCCGTGTTGGAAATGAGAGTGCTCCTTTTGTGTAGCTGCATTTGTGAAGGATTGCACTTTCGTACCCAAGCGTTTGAATCGGTCTTGCTGTGCCTAGGTTGGAAACATCTGTATTCTGATCGAGTTCCTCCTGGCCTGGCCATGCATTCAGCAAGTCTGAACAGCGTCTTTAAGGAGACCACAGAGTTAAAAATGAGATCCTTGAAGAATGAAAAGCTTACAAAAGCTCTAAATGCTTTTTTAATAAAAGGAAATTGCTGCAGGAAGCGATTCCTTATATCCCAGGCTCTGCCAATTGTTTCCAATCACAGCAGCTTGGTGTAGCTATTATCTCACTAAGTTGTATTAATGTGTTTGTCGTTTCTGCTTTTCCTTTTAAACTAACCTACAGGTTAACTTGGGTTCTGCTGCTTAACTTGTGATTTGTCTGTGGTAAAAGCTGTTTGTTGGGGCTCCTTTCACAACTCGGATCCCTCACAGCAGCACATAATGGTCTCTTCACTTCCTCCTCCTCACTAGACTGTAGGAACATTAGCAAGATGTGGTGCTCTTAAACGCTTCTCCCCTCCCATTTGCCCAATCTCTTTTCCTTCTCTGAACCCAAAGACCCTGAGGACAGATGTACCTTCACCCTGAGGATCTCAGCCCTTCCGTGCAGAGCCACCTCTGCACAGATCCATGTTCCTGGACCTATGGGAGCAGCTCACCGCATTGGCCAACAGCAAAGAAATGGGAGATGCCTGCGCAGGATCCTGCAGTTTAGGGGCTATGTGAGATCAAGGTTTGATTTGAATTGGGTCATGACCCCGTGGACTGTCGTAAACGGTGGAACCATTTGGGAATTAATGTTTTATGGGCTCTGCTGGCATTCTGCAGTCTCACAAAACCCTCAACCCAAGCAGACAAATGGCTTACAGTAACTTTTTAACTGGAAAAAGCAATGTTAGGAGATGGTGACTAGGTGGAAATGAGGGAAACTCTTCCAGAAAATATTTGATTCAGAGCACCCAGAAAATCAAAGCACGTCACTGCCAGTGTTGACGACAAACAAACTCCTTTTCTCCTGCTAGAGGTTGGTGCTAGAGGTTGTGTTACAGCCCAGACTAGTCCCTCCAGTTGTACTGAAGCTGATCCTGAGAACCAGGATGGACAACCCCCAGTCCTCAGTCAGTGACAAGTTGGCACCCTTTCCAACTCTTCCAAACATCAAGCATTTTTAATAACCTCTACTACTAAAAATTGTTTCCTGCTTGTTTTGAAAAGACAGATTTCTGTCCCTTGGTGACGGAAGCAAAGGGACCATTCACACAAGTGAGGATTGCAGTCTGGTTTATAGCTAGATACTGCCTGTCAGGTGTTCCCAATGCACAATAATGAGTGTGCAGCCCCCTGCATGGGAGACCCACAGGGTACATGTGTTCAGTACTGCAAACCAGGATCATCCCTACAGCCTTATGAAGAAGGAAATACAGAACAGCGTATCAAAGATGGGATACGGACCACAGGCACCCTATTCCATCACTGAATGCCAAAGGTTGATTTGCATGCAGCGTTTTAAATAATTAAGCAGCAAAATGGTGTTGCCATCTGCCAATGTCCATCTGGTGGAGGGAACACAAAGCTCCCAGTGAGAAACCAGCACTGAGCAAGATCCACTCACTGACAGGGGGGATCCTGGGAAGCAGCTCACTGGTGCCTTGTGGTGCTGTCATCTCTTCTGCTTGGAAATACCTTGCAGTCCCAGTTAAACAGCCCCTGTTTAGACAAGGTTGCTGGTAGAGCATGAAGATTTCCCAGTACAGGCAGAAGTGTGTTTGTAGCACGTCCATGTGGTAAAGGTTGCAATAAATGTTTTGTAATCAGAAGCACTGTAATGGCATTTGTAGATGCAGGGACATGCCTCGCTTCAATACCCTTGTTCAGGTCTGGCTACACTCATTCCTGCACTGTAAAAAAAAGGAATAACAGCCAGAGAGAGGTCTAGAAGGTGATGATAATGTTCAGAGACACAGAAAGGTCCCCGGGAAGAAGGATTCAGGAGGTTCAGACTGTATTTTACACAAGAGAAAAATAAGAGGTGACATGACAGAGGGACTTAAAACAATGAGAAGTGCAGAGAAGGCAACCTAGCCATTCCCAGTTACCCTTTCAAATACCCTTTCAAATGAGCCTGAGCAGCAGCCTAGTGAAATTAAAAATACATTTCATACACATCAAAGGAGGTGCTGGGGCTGGTTATGACTGTGGCATGAAGCAGATTCATTGAACTAGAAAATTGCAGTACAAGAGGGTTTTTTCCTTGATTTTTCTTTAACTTTTGGAGCCCATTGTTTTTAGCAATTTTACAGGGTTCTGAGACATTTATACAAATGTTCAAGTTGTAAAAGCATAGGTACTGAACTGTAGAGGATGTTGTCTTTCCTGCTGTACTCTGCTATGGAGTAAGAAATGATCACTACAGACTGATGCAGGCATCCATGTTAGCTGTAGATAGGATGGGGAAGAGCTAAGTTTTCCACTTGACGGCAAACCCCATCAGGGACTGGAGTCATAACTGTGGCAGTGACCCTGTGGACAAGCAGTATCATAGCCATATACCAAAGAAGGTCAACATAATCAGAGCACCCTCATCCTGCCTTAGTAGCACTCCCACAGAGCTTCACTGTTATAGAGCATTGCACAATGCCAGCTGACACCAGGAGTCACTGGGAACTGGGGGCATTTGCCCCAAACCAGTCTCATCTCTTTCAAAAGCCACAACACTGCAGTGCTATTACTGGCTGTGATAAGGAGCAAGTTTATTCTAGGGAAGAACACATTTTCACTGTGTGCTGTCCCCACTATTATTTGTGTTGCAATAATGCCACAGTGCACGAGCCACTGTGTCGATCAGCATATGGAAAGACATCTCTGGACCAGATAGCACCACTTCTTACTGACAACTGCCAGCTTTTCACACCTCACAGTGACACTGGCTTCACCCAGTTTCAGATTCCCATCTTATAAACCCAGCAGCCCAGCACTGGGAGGTGCTAACAACAGCAAACTGATGTTTTTAGTGGATGTGGCCAAGAATTCTTTGAGGTTATCTGTGGGGAGCAAAGATGGCTTTCCTACTACATATGTCCAAAGAACGTATTTAATTTTGTCAGCTCTCTATTGCAACTCCCCTTTTTGTTCATAACAAGAAGATTTTCTATGTATTTGGCCTCATTCTTCACTGCTGCTACCATTAACTTGCATAAGGACGATGAAGACATCAAGTCTCGGTTGACTTCCCTCAAGGCCAAACCATTTGAAAGTATGAAGTATTAATTCTACTTTGGTCTCTCATTGGAGAGGTAGCATCTCAAACAGTGTCCACCTGGCTCACCACTGGTGTCCATGACTGAGAGGGACAGAATGGGACTTTGGGGGTATTCAATGTTCTTACACACTGTAGAGGCATAGCCAAAAGAAATGGTCAGGTGGAAGAAAGTCAAAGTTGCAGAAGTCCCTGACAGTCTTCTTTGTACCAGGAATACTATGTTCTCCCCCAGAATTTCATTTTTTTTTGTTGGAAAACGTAGGAAATCTTCCTAAACAGACAAGAAGAATTTTCATTGGCAACCGGGCAAGCACTTCGCTGGGGATATTTGAAAGCCACATGCTGGTCTCTGCTCCCGTGCAGGCAGCAGGGCTTGTAAAGAGTGACACTACTGAAGCACACAGTTGGAGCTGGCTGCGGGGCTTCAGGGACCACAGCACCTTCAACACTGTGTCCTGCTATTGTACATATATATTTACACAACCAAACCGTAGTTTCCTGCTGGAGTGTTGCTGTTTGGACAACACCTAAATGAGCAGAACTGAGGGGCGACGTTTTTGCTCGAAGGTTTGATGGTTTTGCTGTTCAAGCAGGAGTTTTCTCAGTAAGAAAAGCTAGTTTTCTGTTTCTAGAGTCCCAGGACTTTCAAGGACAGAGGGAATTTCTTGACAAAAAACAGATTCAGGAATACAACGCTTCTGTAGAATTTGTGTGATTTCATCAAAAATATAACTTCACATTTCCAGAAAACAACACCAAAACTGCTGTCATTTTAAGATAGTTAAATTGCAATTAAATGTTGTGAACTGAGGCTCAGCTGGAGCTGATCTCACACCAAGGAAGTCCTCTCTGAGCTTTGTGGTATCTTGATCTGCACTCGCCGCTGCTGGAGACAAGCAGATATCCTGCTCTGTGGAACAAACATGGCTCCTGGTGCTGTAGGAGATGCAGATATATCCCTTACACTAACTGAAGTGTGCTTTCTCTGATGTATTTTATGTCATTATAACAGTATTTGGCACTTCCCATTTAAAAGACAAGTGCTAAAATAAAT